ACCACCGGTAGGTGGTATCCGATGGGATTTCCGCACAGACAAAAAAAAAGGTGTGGTAATCACTGAATGCAAGAGGTGTTTGGAAAGGTTTAGTAGAGGCCTACGCAACAGAGGCGACTACTACTAGCATATATAATTATTACTTTGTTTGCATACACTTGTTTATATATACATATACCTAGATAGAGAAATATAGATCTAAATTAGTTTGTAGAGATATATAGCTATATAGTAATACACAGGTATAGAAAGTCATGAGAAAAAATATTCAAATGTATAGACAGCGACAAAGCCCAAACTCTAGGGGACTCCTAGAGGAGGAGTCTCCAACAATAATTATTTTGATTAAACCTGTGTTATCGAACTAAAGTTATTATTATTACTAGTTACTGTGAGTTGGGTTGCAAGCATTCAGTTTACCACCATCTAAATTTAAATACCTCATAGGCTTTTAATCATAGATAGTTTAAACATGTCAGTTTACGGTAATAATGTAATAATCCCTACTAATAATATAAATGCGAAAGTAACTCTGTCTGTCTGTCTGTTCGCTTTCACTGCTAAACCGCTGAACCAATTTTAATGAAATTTGGCATAGTGGATAGAGATAGTATCTCTATCTTATTTACTATGCCAAATTAAAAAATCGAAATAGGCAGATCCAACTCGATTTGTAAATAAATGAAAGTGCCAGTTTCGATTCATGGAGCCAGTTCAGTTACATTAAATATCGTAACTCACTTTTTTCGAAAACTATTCATAAGTATTGATTTTTGCTGCAACGTAATAGTTTGTAATTCCATAAAAACTGTTGATTCAAATTTTATGAAGATCTAATCATTAATGACAAAGTAGACAAATGCACTTTAAATGGCTCTCCTGAAAAGTAGCATTTTCACTTTCGATACGAAGGAAAACTTGACACAAACCCTTTTTTTTTTTTTTTTTTAACGTGTGGAAATCCCCTCGGACCGTCACCCCTCCGGGGTTTGCGGCGGGGTGGTGTGTCGGACTCGGACCGACTAAAACCACACGGTGTGCCACTCTGCGCCTGTAACAGGAGGGATCCGGGAACAGCTGTTGTTAAGACATCCGGACCCCTCCTAGCGCCAGCCCGCTCCTGGTGCGGGCTCCGTCTCAATGTTGATGTTCCTCTCTTTAGGCGACGTCCGGCACACGCGGACGCCGCCCCCTCGCGGCTGGCCAACTAATGCGGGTGGAGGGGAAACCCACCCCGTCCACCCGCGGCCACACTCAGGGCGGCATGAGGCGGTGATAGGCGGGCCTCAGCCGCCCGGTTCGCCGGCGGCGGATCGGGTCCGAGTGGAGGTCGTCCTCCCGGGCCCTCTCCGCCGCCTCCTTCCGCGAGATTACTACCTCGCAGAAGGTTGCGACCGCGGTAAAACAACTGTCGCTACCGGCCATGGAGCGTACTACGGCCGGTAGCGAGAGATCCACTCCGATGACTGCAGTGATGGCCCGGCGCTGCGCCGCCCATGCGGGGGCCGAGTCCTCATGAAATAAATAAAGAGAAAGAAATAAATAAAGATCAATGAAATAAAAAACAGAATAAAGACTTTTTAGTTGCGCTTCTAATAGCATATTATTTAAACTGGTTGATGAAAAAAACTTCATTAGAAAAACAAAATTTAAAAAAATAACTATTTTTAAAAACAAAATTTTTGTTTCATTTCAATAAAGATGCTTTCCATTTCTATTCTCTCAAAAAAAAAATTATCGTGAACGTCTTCCACGTGCATAATTATTATTCTGTGAGGTGAATCATGGCAGTCACGCTAGAGGAATGTACCAGAATCCTAACTTTTTTGGAACTTGGGAGGAGCAATAATTTAATTACGAAACTAAAAGAAAAAACCTGTAATTACCAACCGATAATGAAAATATAATTATTGGTTGGTTATTATAGTGGTTTTAGGTGGTGTGTAGGCATAAAAAGTTAAATGGCTAAACAATACACTAGATTTTAGCATACAATCGAAATTTTAATTTGTAGATATTTTGAGTTTCGGTTTCGGCTGAAGAACCTGTTTCGGTTAAGGTAGCATTCGGTCCCTAGCAACGGCGACTAGCGACCACGATAGGGTCGCGCGACCTTAGTCACGACACAGTTAGGACACGTTGTATGTTTTTGTATGTTCGAAAATTTTGCCGTAGCTAGGAAAAAAGCTATTCAGCAGCTGTTGGAAGATGAAGACGATTATGATAATCTTATTATGATATTATCTGTGCCTCCGGAAAAAAAAAAATGAAGATTGAATCAATTTTCACAGCACGAGAAAAAGAGAGTTAGATTTTTATTCACCAATTCAATCAATTAACCGAATGTACTCCATATAAATTCATACAATGCAGTGGGTCGCGCGACACGTTATACGCTAGGTAGTCGCTAGTGGTGAGGTTACCAAAAAAGTTGTAAACGACATTCCAGTGCAAGTAGTGTGGTCCTGTGTTGTCGTTGACGATACACAGTGTGGTTAACTAATTTAACTTTCTATTAATTTTACTTGAAAGTTATTTATCTGTTTCAATTTATAAATTTATCTATCACTATTCCACAATCTATGCATTTTAGTGGTTCTTTTGAGTGAAAAGCTATTACACATTCAGGTTTGGGCTTTGACATAGTAATTACTATTCATGTCTAGATGTGTATTCAATCATAAACATATTATTTTATCTACATTAAAAAAAAATAGAATATAAAATTGTTTTAATTAATTACAATCTTATTGTTTTACTAACGCCATCTGTCGAAAAATCTAAAATCGAATAAGACGATTTTATCAACAAGGGTTTTACTACTAACGCAATCTGTTAGAAAACTAAAGAATTAATATCGAGGTAAACATAATGTTTAGTAAAAATACGCCGGTTTTTTGGTTATGCACAAAAAAATAACGAGCTATTAATTATAAGTTAGAAGTGTGGTTTAATGCGGGATAATGGATTTTTTTTATGTAATCGGACTTAGAAAAATAAGTATAAATTGTGCGTCTTTAATTTTCTATATATATTTTAAATACTCCTGAACTCCTGGAAGGTAGCATTTGTGCACCCGATCCCTAAAAAAGGTGACCTGTCCAACTACAGGCCTAAAGACATAACTCCTTTGTTCTCTAAGATTATAGAATCCATAATCAACTGCCGGCTCCTCCGGTACTTAGATGATCACCAGCTAATCAATGACCAACAATATTGTTTTCGCCGGGGTCACTCAGCTGGTGATCTTCTCGTCTTTCTAACACCAAGGGAGAGGCTTGTACGGTAAGCTTGGACATAGCATAGGTTTTCGATCGGGTCTGGCATAAGGCCCTTCTCTCGAAGCTCCCTTCCTACGGGTTTCCTGAAAAATTATGTAACTAGATCACCAGTTTCCTTGCGGAGAGAAGCATTCAGGTCATTGTCGACGGTACATGCTCCGACTTAAATTCCGTAAATGCTGGTGTCCCGCAAGGCTTTGTGCTCACCCACACTGCTTCTTCTGCATATAAATGACGTGTTGCAAACTAGTAGCATCCATTGCTATGCAGATGATAGTATGGGAGATGCCGTTTACACCGACCGCACCAATATTTCTCGGGAAAACGTCATCGAGAGTCAAAACAAACTTGTGTCTGAAATTGAAACTTCCTTAGCGGAGGTTTCCGATTGGGGTCGACTAAATCTTGTCCTGAGCGTTCACCGAAGATATCATTTGTCGAGTCAACTCGGTTTGAGAGCAACTCACAAACCTAACCTTGAGGTGAACTCACAAACCTAATAGCAGAATAAAAAGAAAAAAAAGAATTTTCTGGAATTGTCTGTATGCTACGCAATCTAAAAAACCACCTAACGGATTTGAATGAAACGTGGTATATGATTTAGCATATTTAGAGTCAACATCTGCATTAATTTTTATTCCCAAAAAAACTCTGATCTACCATGGGATTAGGGTTGAAATTTTTATTTTTTAGTTAGAGTTTTGCAAATGAGTTTAGGGGTACAAAATCATGAATAGAGAAACATTTATATCTTAGATTTGTGACATTTCACTACACAATAAACAAAATCTTCGATGTTTTTTAATGCAAAGTATTTGTTACTATTGATAGTCGATAGTGGTTACGGCTGCGCTGTGATTGGTGTGAGTTCAATTTTCACTTAGTCCTTGAGTGTTTTCTGTTTTTATATTTTTTTTTTGTTATTTTCATGGCATTATTAAATGAAAAAATGATGTCATTTTTCGAACGTACACGTTTTCCGTCACAGTTGTCAACTAAGCCATCTGTTAAAACTTTGGTGGTTAGTACGGGCGTACGTTGTGCGCTTTGAATTTCCCGGTACTGCGCATTTTGAAAAAGTGCGTTGACACATCCTGAACTGAAATGGCGCAATTGCGAGACGCAGCGCAGTATTACCCATGTCTACTCTATTTTCAGTATGCAGCTGGACTGGACACTTTTTCAACTTTCCCCCATATGAGATGGTGCTCTTTGCCTCTACACTCCATACTCTGAACAAAAGATTTAATATCTATGGCGATCAACGACTCGCAAATTGTACGATATACGTTAAATGTCAAACTTAAGGTTTTTAATCTTCTCTTCAGCCTACATAAAAATGTAAATTATTAATGATATAAATGAACTGCAGGTGACAGAATAAAAACATTTTTATTTTGTTTCTAATCTGTACAAATTGAAAAAAACACAATTTGTCTACTGCCATTGTTTTCTTTAACAGGTATTGGTTGAAGTTCGTTATTTGACATAATACTTATTTTTGATTGGTGCATTAGTAAAACCTGACATTCATTTATCCAATGATAGCTAAGTTTGTAAACGGAAACAAACCATGTGCTAACATGGCGATTTTTCATCATTCTTATGTCCTTTGATAATTATTGCGTGGCTGTTATGGGAATTAGTTTCAATCGTGCAATATTTTATCTTTTTGACACATTTTCTTAGTTTCATAAATTAGACCTAAATCTAAAAAAAATGAGTGTTGATGCTTACGGACCGAGCTCTCAAACACTCACATTCTTGGACACTGAGGAAGCGGATCTTATCGGAGCTGATACTCAAGGCTCAGAATTCGAATTCACTGACTTCACCCTACCTTCCCAGAGTCAGACACAGGCCTCTCAACATGACCATGGCCTGTCATCATCAAATCAGGTGAATTAAAGCAGGCGAATATTTTGTTTTCCCTCTAACCTTAATAAAATAAATGTATACGTAATTACATGACTAACATGTTTATTACATTATTGCACAATTATCTTATTCTAGGTGAATGGGCTAGGGCGTTCAGATTTGTCATCAAAAGTTTCAAATGTGACGAATGCTATCGCAGAGTTGCAATTTGAAGAGGAAGATGAGGCGTTGTATAGCAGTAAGGAGTTGCCAGACCACGCTTGTAAATACTGTGGCATACATGATCCAGCCACTGTTGTCATGTGCAATATTTGCAACAAGTGGTAAGTTACTTAAGAAACTTGTTAATATTGACTAGAAATAAAGTGATGTCGTACTTATTCACTAAAAGTGTGGAGTTGATTCAATTCGTAACATTTTGCATGCGAATTTTAAAACTATTTAAATGATAATGGTATGGTAATTCTAACAGTACAAAATTATATCCCTTAATTATTTACGGATTAAGAATACAGTGGCACAACGTCTATTCATCCCATGAGTCATAAAATCCAACTAAGGGAGTAAACTATGCAGTACAATAGCACTGCAAAAAGAAGGAAACCTTGAAACAAACCCTTTACCAACCTGTATGGCCAGTGTGGTATAGTAGTACAAAACCTTTCTATATCCAGCCAGTGGACCACTGAAACTGATGAATGAATCTTTTTATTACAGGTTTTGCAATGGGCGTGGAAACACATCGGGGTCTCATATCATCAATCACTTAGTGCGTGCCAAGCACAAGGAAGCTGCATTACACCGAGATGGTCCCCTTGGAGAGACACTGCTGGAGTGCTACTCTTGCGGAGCTAGAAATGTATTTGTGTTGGGATTTATACCTGCTAAAGCTGATTCTGTTGTTGTGCTCCTTTGCCGGTATGTTATTTATTTCTATTTACCATTCACCAGTCTACAACTAGTTTTAATTTTTATTGTGTTTAAAATGTTTATAAGAAGTGTGTAAGTGGCCTGTATACATAATCTATGATACATTATGTTTACCTAGTGTTTCAATTAACTATGATGATGATCACAATCACTGTTTTATGCATTATGTATACAGTATGTATGTATACATTATGAATAACATTGCTATTCATTAGTTATATTTAGCTGATTGCATGCATACAATACATATAATTGCCAGTTTGCATTAAAAAGTAGACATTACATAAAAATCTTTTCTGTCATTTAAGATTTCTTATTAAATGTTATTGACAGACAACCATGTGCAGCCCAAAGTTCTCTCAAGGATATGAACTGGGATCAAGAACAATGGAAGCCTTTGATTTGTAAGTTTCCTTAGAAGTTTATTTAAATTAAAATTCATTTATTAACATTTTCACTGTCACTTCAATAGGTCTTTGTATAGTCATTGATAAATATAGTTTTAATACTTTTTCTAAGATATGATTAATAAATAAAAAGTAGATGTTAGCTTTAAATGAGGGGTGTAACTATAACCAAAACTACCTTAGGCAGGCCTGTTGGTCAAGTGATCGTCACTGCTAAGCCACAAACTGTGTGCTCAATTAGCTCCCCAAACATATAATTGTGTAATGAGCACAATCATTTGTTGTGTCTGTGTTAAGATTCATCTATAATATATGTATAATTAAATATGTATTTAAAAATATATAAGTATATAAATCAGCAGTCTGCTGACCATCATTCTGTTTCTGCCCAGTTTTAGGTAAAGAACACAACCTATTTTCAAATAAATATGTAAAATGGCATTGGTATATTATTTACAGCGGATCGAGCCTTTCTATCTTGGTTGGTAAAAGTACCATCTGAAGCAGAGCAGATGAGAGCCCGCCAGGTTGGTGCCTTAATATTATTTGGTCAAATCCATGAATTATATTTGTGAATATAAGATTAATATAGAATGTTAGGCTATTAAAGCATTGCTGTTGGGATATTAAGATAAAGTTTATAAAAAAATGTTTTGAAACGAATATACTTTCAGGTTACTCCACAACAAATAGGCCGTCTGGAAGAGCTGTGGCGTGATAACGTAGATGCTACATTTCAAGATTTGGAAAAACCTGGTGTGGACGAAGAGCCTCATCAAGTGCTTTTGAGGTAAGTTAAAGAGTAAATATTCTTTCTTTTTAATTCTTTTGCTTTCTGCGTCATTCACCTCCTACCTCAAATTTACAGTTGCTGATAGTTCCATAATGACAATAATTTAATTAAAAATATTTCATTTTCAAAGATCATTTTATTTTCTCAAAGATTATTATGTTGCGTCTAATGATGCAGAAGTAAATAGAGCAAAGATTCACCCTAAAGCTATATTATTTTGATGCCTTCGACTCGTTTTGCTTTATACCTGTGCCATTCAACTCTCCTAATGCCTAGTTTACTTTGACGAGGCTTGATAAAGGTCCGCAAGCTCCAAGCCGAATGTTTGAATGCCATTTATAAAATACATACAGAGACACAGAGCGTATTTAATGCGGCAACATGTAAATACGTCGCAAGCACTTGCCGCAAGCTTCCTTTCATCTGTGTTCAAAACCGGATACTAATCCGGATCCGCGACTAGGTCAGAAACACCCCGTTAGCACGTGTCGAGACTTGCCGATAACACTAGCGCCTTTTTTACAAAATATCTAATATTTTGCTAATATTTGTTTTATTTGTACAGGTATGAAGATGGTTATCAATATCAAAACATCTTTGGGCCACTAGTGAAGCTAGAAGCGGATTACGACAAGCGTCTCAAGGAATCGCAAACTCAAGATGGAATTGAAGTCCGTTGGGATGTGGGACTCAATAAGAAAACAATAGCTTACTTCACTCTAGCTAAAACTGACAGCGATATGAAGCTTATGCATGGTGATGAACTTAGATTGAGGTAAATAGTTTCATTCCATAACTAAATAAGAAATTGAGTGTTAAAATCTATTTTTTTATTGCACAATATAAAGGCAATTTAAAAATATGTTACTCTTGTACTTCGTGCTAATCATGCTATATTACAGATATGTGGGTGAGTTGCACAAAGCGTGGTCAGGCGTGGGCCACGTGATCAAAGTGCCGGATAACTACGGCGACGACGTGGGCCTCGAGCTCAAGAGCGGGGCAGGCGCTCCTTTGGACTGCACCTCCAACTTCGTAGTCGATTTCATTTGGAAGAGCACTTCATTTGACAGGTAGATACCAGTTTGAATATCTTACAAATAAACATATGTCCTTAGCGAATGCACTGGCAAATGTGCATAGTGCACAGAATTTGATATTTCATAAATAAAGCTGTATTATGACTACTAGCATTTATTGGAAACCATGACGATAAAAAAAAATACAAGAAATACCATACAGCATTTAAAAGACCTATGTTAAATTATAACATTATGTAACGGCTGACATGATGGCTGGGGCCCGTATGCCGTCTATATTCTAAAGTTTAATACGCTATTATAGTAATTCAACAGACTGAGAACTGAACATGAAATGAACAATGTGACCAGAACAATTAGTGTACATCAGTTAAGTTTTTTTTTTATCTTCATAAAAACTAAAAGTTGAGTTACAACAATATGGATGAAAAATCGGCAGTCTTATCGATCATGGCGATCTCTTACAGACAACCTTTATACGAATGTAATATTCGTAATTTTTACCAATTAATAAGTGGCTTTTATTACAGTAGAAATTGTAACATAACATTGCAGTGATTTTTATATGAGTAATGCATATTTTTGAATTCAGGATGCAACTAGCTCTTCGCAAATTTGCCGTGGACGATTCTTCTGTGTCGGGATACATCTATCGTCGTCTGCTTGGACATGAAGTTGAAGAAGTGCTCTTTCGTGTACATCTACCAAAGCACTTCAGCGCCCCTAATTTACCTGATCTCAATCGTTCTCAGGTACATACAAGTCTAAAAGATAATATTTCGTGGCTTTGCAATAGTAACAACTAACTTTACTCACCCGTCAAACACTATTTTAACTTTAAATTCTAATAATTCTTACAGGTATATGCTGTCAAGCATGCCCTTCAGCGCCCTCTTTCCCTAATTCAAGGACCACCAGGAACGGGTAAAACTGTCACATCAGCCACCATTGTGTACCAACTTGTTAGACAGAACAGCGGGCCTGTTCTTGTGTGCGCCCCTTCTAATACCGCTGTGGATCAATTAACTGAGAAAATTCATAGAACTGGTCTAAAAGTTGTTAGGCTGTGTGCTAAGTCCCGAGAGGCGATGGAATCATCAGTATCATTCTTGGCACTGCACGAACAAGCAAGGGCTTTAGGTTCGGCAGACAGCGAACTTAGAAAGCTGACCAGGTTAAAGGAGGAAGCTGGTGAACTGTCTGCTGCTGATGAAAGAAGATATCGTGCTTTACGTCGTGCCGCAGAACGGCGTATATTGGACGCGGCTGATGTTGTCTGTACCACGTGCGTAGGCGCGGGAGACCCGAGAGTTGCTCGCATGCGTTTCCAATCTATTCTTATTGACGAAGGCATGCAATCTACTGAGCCGGAATGTATGGTGCCCGTAGTACTTGGCGCGAGACAACTGATTCTAGTAGGCGATCACTGCCAGCTCGGTCCGGTTGTCATGTGCAAAAAAGCCGCTAAAGCTGGGCTAAGCCAAAGTTTATTTGAGCGTTTGGTCGTCCTTGGCATACGTCCTTTCCGTCTGGAAGTCCAATACCGCATGCATCCTGAACTATCACGTTTCCCATCGGACTTTTTCTATGAGGGATCTCTCCAAAACGGCGTCAGCGCTGAGGAACGTCGTCTGCACAAAATCGATTTCCCATGGCCTAGAGCCGATCGACCTATGTTTTTCTACGTGACCCAGGGTCAGGAAGAAATTGCCGGATCCGGAACTTCCTATTTAAATAGAACTGAAGCTGCAAACGTCGAAAAACTAACAACACGTTTTTTAAAAGCCGGTGTGCGTCCGGAACAGATCGGTATCATCACTCCTTACGAGGGCCAGAGGTCCTACCTCGTGCAACATATGCAATATCAAGGTAGTCTGCACGCCAAATTGTACCAGGAGATCGAAGTCGCCAGCGTCGACGCTTTTCAAGGTAGAGAAAAGGATATCATCATAATGTCCTGTGTCAGATCCAACGAGCACCAAGGAATAGGGTTCTTGAGCGATCCGCGTCGTCTCAACGTCGCCTTGACCAGAGCTAAATACGGTCTCATAGTGGTCGGCAACCCTAAGGTCCTGAGTAAACAGCCGCTATGGAATCACCTGCTCGCGTTCTACAAGGAGCGTCGCGTCCTAACGGAGGGGCCACTCTCCAACTTAAAAGAATCGGCCATCCAATTCGCCAAGCCTAAGAAGCTGGTGAACGCACAAAATCCCGGTTCTCATTTCATGTCGACGTCGATGTTCGACGCGCGCGAGGCGATGGTGCCGGGCTCGGTGTACGACCGCGCGCGGCCCCTGCGCGACCCGCTGGCCTACGTGGGCCCCGAGCGCGCCGCCATGCTGCACGCGCCCGTGCCGCCCGCCGCCTTCTCGGCGCACCGCGGCCTGCAGCGCCCGCCGCTCGGGGCACAGCAGCGCAGCGCCCGGCGCCGGCCCCCGCGCCTGTCGCAGGAGCCGCTGTCGCAGCAGCCGCAGCCGCTGTCGCTGTCGCAGGGCGCCTCGCAGCCGGACTTCAGCCAGGAGTCCGCCGCGCCCGACTGCCCGTCGCAGCCCGACGGGCTCCTGTCGCAGGACTCGACGTACCAGGGCGGGTTCCGGGCGCGCTGCAGCCAGTACTGAGAGTGGCGGGCGGACCGCCGCGGGGCCGCGCCGCACCAGCCGACCTCACTCCTCCGGGGTGGAAGCACACACGGTACTGACGAGAGACGCCGATGCGCACCGCACGCCTGACTGCCGACGATCAAAATTCGGGTGTAGAGAGAGACAGACGAGAGTCCCGCGTCGACGCGTCACATTGCGGGATCGGAGCGGTCGCGCCGGCGGCGGAATCCGACCGCGACTTTGTTAGTCTTCGCCCATCGACCGTATCGAAGAGTAGTTCGCTCTTGAAACTTAGAAATTGTGTCACGCGCGGAGCGACTTACGCGACAGATTGTTGCGTAATATATAACCGTTCCATTACAGGGATAGATTTTTATAGGATGTTGAAACAACTAAATTCTGAATAGTAAATACAAAAAATAAACTCAATACATGCTCTATAAACTTGGATATTGGACTGTTTAATTGTACTTTCATTACGTACTTCTGCACGATCTCGACTTTACCTAAAAATGTTACTATCCTATACTACTGTAGCTGTTCTATATACAGGTCTCAGAAACCGATACATATTTCTGAGGCCCTTTACTAGTCGATGGAAAATTCGAAGACTATCTATCTCGACTAAGAGATATAACCATCACCAAAATATTTCAATGTTGATAGGTTTAAAGGAATCGATAAGAAATGTAACTAATTGATTCACAGTTAAATTTTCGTCACATTACATTTTTGTATACATTTTAAAATCATTTTGTTAAGAAAACAAAATTAGGAAAACAGTAGTTTTTGCTTATTGCATTGAAATAGTAAAAGTATCGTAATACGGTACAATAGCTATCTATTCACATAAAACAACCTTAAAATTTGATTTTTACAGGGGTTAAAAGAATCGCCGTTGAAGCAGTTAGATATTTTTATTAGATAACATAAAAGTAATTGTAGTAATGGTTTATTTTCACCCTAAGGAATTTCACAATAGTTATACATTACTTCTCTACTATCATTGTCTATGTCGGTCACATTTATAGGCAAACAACATTAAAATAGTACTCTATTGTTTTTCCTTCTCATCCAATGCATTATGTTGAAAGGCATCACATCATGTACAAATTTGATATTTATGTATTCCAATATGAAGTTTTTTTACAATTTTTTTATGTTACCTTTACAAAATATATATATGGTTAACTTAGTATAAAAATACCGTGTATTAATTTCTAAATGCGTTCATGTTATGAGATAAAAGGATTCCACTAGTGATAAATGGTAGAGGTTATTTTTGTGTCTGTGGTCCTATGGCTTTTTACAAAAACGAAGTTAACCTTTGAGCAATTCAAAATTGTCTTCTAAGTGATCATTGTAGTAAAGTTTCGATAAGGATAATATAATTTGTTAATGTCTATGTTATTATATGTACATATGTGTTTAGAATAGACTGTCTTAGATGGTTTACTTTGATTTTGACTGTGAAGGAAAATCAATAAAGAAAACTATAATTATCAAGTAGCTTTATTTATGTAAAGGTTATAGGAAATTACAGACCCTGATGTTATGCATATGAAATGAATTTCATACCTCTTTAACTAAAAGATTATATAATTCGTAGTTGTTACATGTAAAACACTTGAGTTTCTGGCTTGAGATTCTAACTTGTACAAAATGCTCACATTTACTATGTTTTTACATAAATACTTTGGCTATTTAAAGTATAATTATTTTTATAATGTTGTATGACTAAACTGTTATCTAGGTCCTTCATCTAAGTCACGGGTTCTTCTTTTCTTCTATCTTTGATACTTGTAACACATTACCTAAACCAAACAATCAAATACTTATTTACACAGGGTTATTAAATATTGTCAAAGGGACATTTGTTTTTCTGTTACATTCCTTCTACCTTTGCGACAAGCATTATAAGGTAAAAAATAGACTGCCTGATCCTATAGACGAGATGTAGCCGAGTGAGGAGCGAGTTCAAAGCAAGATAAAGACATATCCCTATGTCTCCACGTTTATCTTGGAGCAGCCTGATTTTTTTACCTTATTATTATATGCTATAATTAATAGCTACCCAGCTCCCAATCACGAATTTTATTTGATTATGCCTATTTATAATTATTGTTTCTAATATAGACTGAGAAGCATTTAAAATTAAAAACAAAACAATGCCAATCAATTAGGTACTATAGAAACGAATGTTTTGCACTACTAATAATATTGTTGGCACTGATTTTAAAGCTTTTTTTATACTGTTGGCCGAACTACAACTGACAATTTAAAAAAAAATATGTTAAATTGTTTGCAATCAATCTTTATAATCAATCAATATAATCTTTATAATTGCTCTATTTTTCTATGAAAAACACTAACATAATTTAAATTAATAATAGAAAGGGCGACGAAACTCTAAAAGCATGTGATATACTTGACATGAAATTATCTTTACTTTTTAGAATTTACTGGACATAGACTGTCAACAAGCAAATAACGTTATTTCACATCTAGACAATACCATGTGTTTTGTAACGAATACTCACATAAAAATATACCGTTTTTTTTTAAGGAAATCACATTTCCAAAACCTGTATTCAATAAAAGCCATCAACATTTGAATTAATATTTTCATTATGATCAAATACTACAAGGTAATTTAATTTTAAGTAATTTTCTTATCAAAATCAAAAATCTCAACCAAAATATTCACGAACCAATATGCAATACGAAATATGTATGAGATATAAATAAGGCGAATACAACTACTTTATAAATATTTTGTGCACTATACTCTTACATTCTTTTATTGAAAGGTTATGTGCATAACATAATAATATTTAAACAATATATGCCCTTAATAAATAAACAATATTCAATCCAAAATTATAACTGGATAACATTCAATAAACTGTTTTAGGAAAGTAATACTTAAGGTTAGCACAAAACAATAGACTCTTTGGTTTGAAAATAATATTATGCAGGCTAAAAAGAGGTCCTTATTTGATCTCTATCACCCCCTGCTAAGCAGGTATATTGGTAACATTTAAAAAAACTTACATTTAAGGAAGAATAAAACATATCTTGTACTCTTTCTTGATCTCTACACTGGTATAGTTCTTAGATAGCGCTGGAGCATCATTCGCTAACCAAACAGCCCATTGCTTTATACATATTGATTAATATAGTCCATATAATATCAATGTTAATATCACAACCTAACTAGTGCTAAAAGACGGTAAGCCGCGGTATTCTTAAGTATATAAATATGTATAAAGTTTAACATATTCGATACATATAGCTTAATATTATTGTTGTTATAAAATGCATCAGCTCAAAATAATAACGCTACTGAGGTAACGGAGGCGGTTGGACGGCTGCGTATGTTGGGTAGTACGGAGCGAAGTTTGGTCCTCTTATCACTACATGGTTTGACTCTCCCCTCTCTTGAATAGTGCGAGCTGTATATGGAGATTCCTTGTAAACTGGTTCAGCTGTAAATTTATTTTACAACAAATTTATAATTTACTACTAAGAAAGCTTTCTTTGAATCTCTTTGTTACTGGTCAGCATCAGATTACAGGGCGCTCTTTAATTTAGAAAATAGTTAACTTCGGGATCGATGCAGAAATATTACAAATACTTACTAAGAGTTGGGTACAACGTTTGGAACGGCGGTTGAACAGGCGCCGCACCAGGCATTACCCATCCTCCCGGTGCAGATGGGTCACTCGGCACCTGAAATTTAATTAAATTCTAGGTGTCATCATCGTAAAACACGTTCACACAGTTTTAGGGTGCCGTACAACGGTATCAAAAAGAGGAAACAAGTTTAAAATCATTCGTGCGTCCGTTTGTCCTTCCGTAACAGCCAATATGCTCTAAATGTACTTAAGTTAAAACTTGTTACCCTACCAATTCCTGTGATCCAAACAGCGGAGTGTTATGTAAATAAATTATTGTTGAATAGGAGGATCACCTGTGAGGGCCAAATTAATAAAAGAACTAACTATACTGTGTAATGGAACAAACGAAAGCTTTATTTTTTCAAGCAAATTCAACTCGAAAAAAAATCATTAAGATTTGAGAATCTACATATATATATATATATATATATAAAACAAGTTTAATATAAAAATAAACTAACATTAGGTTGAGCAGGTTGTCCCGGGCCCACTGGCAACACGGCAGGCTGACTCGGAGAGTACTGTTCGTTGCCAGGGCTCGCTGGAGCCGATGGAAGCGCCTGACCAGCCATACCCACCAGAGGCACGGTACCGATCGCTATGTATTTCTTACCGCTCAAGCCCAGGTGCAAGCCAGATACCGTACATTCAACCTGTTACAATAAAAACATGAATTTTAATTGTCTTTTGTCGTGAATATTTTTAATTTTTTTTAGACTAAACCATAGTACAGAATAGTAATTTTCAAATAATAAGACGTGTTACAGATATGCGTCTTCATTATATGAAATCGTTAGGTATTAGAGAAAAATTGTTAAATTAAGGTAGACATTACAAAAACAGTAGATATTTCTGTTTTTTTGGGTCATCCAGGCAACCGGAACAGACTCATGGGTGTCGGGTATGTCCTGAATAAGCCTTGTTAAAATATCTCAATCTAGTGCTGGGCCTTTTGAAATCCCCTCGGATACCACTTGTCGGACTCGAACCGACTAAAACCGCACGCCGTCTCAGGTACCAGAAGTCGGGGAACCAGGTGTACCCTAGAAAGGAGAAGCCTTTGTGTGTGTACTCTAAACATAATATGTACTATGTACTGCATACTATACACTAATAAAATTATACTTACACTAACTAAAATAGTAATTGGAAATAATAAGAAATTCCTCAATTATAGTGGCAAACTCAACATAGGCATAGTACGTATTAGGTACATACGTATACGACAACGCGCATTTGTGAATAAAAAACTGTTACTACGCTTAGTAACAATGAGATGTTTTATTTTTAAATATATTTCGACTCAGACACGGTTCTAGAATGACATCATCATGACATCATTTTGTAAAAGATAAATTTATATCCGTAGATATAATGTCTGACAAACTCACATTGAAACTAACAATATAAACTTACTAAACTACGGCTGCAATGACTTTTTTAATATGTGAAATTCATACTCATGAATTCCTGCCAGGGACTTTGTTAATAGTAAGCAGAGCAGACGGGTCACCTGATGGTAAGTGACCACCGCCGCCCATGGTCTATGGACGCCTGCAAGTTAAGAATCATAAGTGCGCTGCCGGCCTTTGATGTAGGAGTACGCTCTTTGCTTAAAGGCTTGAACATCGGTCCGGAAACAAGCAACAATTTAATTCATATTTAAAAAGGTACTTATTGGGTACCTATATATCTATATAAACTATATAACAACCACATTATCATAAACATTAAACTATAAGTAAAGTCTAAATTTAACCGATTTATTTTGAAGGCCGCAGAAATAACACAAGTTTCATAACAAGTTTAGAGGCCATATTAACACAATTAGTTTATATACAATAGAATAACAGGCCACAGACCTATTGCTGCTAAATTTAAGAAATCTTAATTACATGAAGCTAATTCACCTTACCTTGAAATCATAATCCAAATCGATGATGTTACAATTGACGAGATCTGATGGCGGAATTGGTGGCACCTCGAGAGTCAAGTTCCAAGTTTTAGTGCTACCAGCTGGTGCGGGACCTTCTTGTATAGTTAACACTATGTCCTTAGTCTTTTTTGTAGCATTGCTTGGTGATGTTGCTCTATACGTCACCACCTGATTTTCAAAATAAATAGATACTTACTTAAAACAAAAACATATAGATCAGCCTATTTTAAGTAATCTTTAGTAAAGTTAAGCCATGTGAACAAATTTAAATAGCACATAAGAACTCTTTCAAATTTATTGCAAAGGTTTATATTATAATTATAGACCAATTAATTGGTGTGTAGGCATTTAATTCCACTGGTAACAATATAACTGAGAACTCAAGTTGCAGTCTGGCCCAATTGTCAATAATTCTGCCTCAACATTTATTTTTAACCTTTGTCTTAAAGTTCCGGGGGACTTCCGGTTCCGGCGACGAAAGTGTAAACACGTACAAGAGTGAGCTCTGCAAATATTATTAATTTCCAGTGCAAAAAGTGGCAAAATAAACATAAAATACATTTAAGTTTTCGGGAAATCATACTAAAATAGTGCTCAAGAAAAATTTAAAGTGAAACAACTACCTAAAATTGTGATTATCCTCAAACAATTAAGTTATCCTTCATTTATTATACCTCCTACTACCCTCAAAATTGATAACACTAAGATTGCAAGTAGTGCCAACCAAACCAATCAAACTGTCAGTGACATTGACAGTCATAGACAACCACCGAAAGTGTTGCACTGAAACAATAGAAAAATTCTACCACTATGCAAAAGTGTTTCCACCATACAACACTAAATTTACCCAACACCAAAATGGAAAAACAAATGGAAATCTTACTCTCAAAATAAATGAAAAGTTTAATGAACAAACAACAATATTAACAACAGAAATAACGAAAAACGTCATGGAAGCCTTAGATAAAAAGATGAAAATGCTGAAAGAAGAAAATGACAACCTTAAAACCAAAGTCACAAATTTGGAAAAAAAAATAACTTTCTTAGAAAAGGAAAAACGCATGAGTAATTTGGTTATTTTTGGCATCGAAGAAAAGGGAAAGTCAGAAATAGAGTTGGTCGATTATGTAAAAGAAATCATAGCGGAATCAGGAACGCATTTAGATAGCCAAGAAATAAGTTATATCAAAAGAATTGGAACACAATCTGACAAAAATCGTCCAGTGAAAATATCTCTAACGACAACTTGGAAGAAACATCTTATTTTGAGAAATAAGCGTAACCTTCCTGCAAATGTATATATCAAAGAGGACTTCCCCAAAGAGATTCTCGAAATACGCAAACAGTTACAACCAAAAATGCAAGAAGAAAGAGAAAATGGAAACATAGCGTTCATAAAATACGACAAGTTAATTGTGAAAAAACCAGGGACCACCTACCGGGAAAAAAGGAAGAGAGAATTTTCAGGATCGCCAACCACTCCATCACAGAAAAAACTAAGCATGAAAAATACTGCAAATGGAAAGACATCCCAAAGTGCAACAAGGGAAGTAATCAAATCAAGCATCCTTTCATATGTAGCACGAGAAAGATCTGCCTCGACGTCAGAGCTGCCAAAAAACAAGTAAAGGCCCTCTCCAACCGGAACCAAAATATAGACACAACAACACATAGCATAGCAAGAAAAACTTTAATAAATCGCCCCCCAAGCCGGCCGGTCACCGTGGGGGAAGTCGACCACCACCCTCCAACAAATCAGCCAACTGAATCCAGTACTAAAAAAAACGATACAAAAAGGAAATAGTCTATACCTATGTACGCTAAACACACGAACCTGGAGAACACCGGAAAGCTTGCAAGAGTTAGAATTAGCTATTAAAAGCATCAAGTGGGACATTTTGGGCATAAGCGAGATGCGAAGGTTGGGGGAAGGGATAGAAGGGGGTGCTAGCTAGAAAACCTCCCCGTGGTGCACCCTGGAAACGCTGGCGATGGTACTGTTCCCTCCTTGTCCTCTTGGAGGAGAGGATTATCGCCAGCGGCCAATATTCTAGCAGAAGAGGTAGCCGTTCATCGGCTCTCGGGCAAGGCCTGGTCCAGCAGGGTGGGCGTGTCTGCCGGTTGCCCTGCTGGCTCTTCGCTCTTCGGAGCATGGAGGAGGAAACCTCGGTAAAAAACCTGATGGCGGGGCCCTGTAGGGGCCACAGTTTCTCCGCTGATAGCGGTGGAGAAAGGAGGACGGGCTCGGCGTGTACTGACACTACCACCGAGCAGGCAGGGGGACGTAGTCTCCCTGTCAACCGTCGGCATATCGCAATCCCGAGAAGAGCGCTGTGGTTAAGTCTCGCGGCTCTGATCGGGGGCGAGGGTCTTGGCTTAACCGCCCGGACCGCGAGGAAGATAACCTCTCTAAAAAATTCCCCGAATCCCGTGTTCTGGTGCGTGGCCAGGGGATGCATGGCTGATGGGAAGTTCAGTCGCGAGCGCACTCCAAGCCGAGGTACCTGCGGACCCCTCGGTTGGGTTAAAAACTTACGCTTGCCCGGGTAATGGGGGATCTCTGCCCGGGTGGACCTTTAGTTCTCCCCCACTCGTGGGATTATTATGGAAAATCTTAATTTGAACAAACAAAAAACGATCGGAAAAAAAAACACAACAGACAAAAGCAAGCCTAACGGACAAGGAGACGAAGAGGAGGAACAGTGGAGTGGATGGGTCGTCCACTGAGGGTGAGATGGTGTCAGGAACGCCCATCTCGATGGGGCTCCCAGAAGTCAGTCTGACTCTGATCTCTGGGAGCCGAAGAGCATCGGATCGGCTGCGTTCCGGATCTGCCGCTTCGTCGGATGGCGCGGAGGCCATGGAAGCGGAGCGGAGCGACAGCCGGAAACGCGGACGCTCCAGGGAAGAGGGGACCGACACGTCCGGCGAAATGATGCCACCAAAGGTGGCAAGCAGCCGCCGAGGGAGGGCGCGTAAACCGGCCTCGGCCTCGGTCTCGACCCCGTCAGGCTCCGCGTTCTCAAACGCGGAGTCCTACAGGAGCGTGCGAGTGGACGGCGAGGCCGTAGCGGAGGAGGAGATCGCGGATCTCCTGCTCAAGGTTCGGGAGCCGGTGGGGGGAAATGCCCCCCAGGCTCCCGTGTCCGTGCAGGAGAGGGCGAAAGCGGCGGTGGCCGTCATCGACAAGGTGGCCACCAAATCAGTGAACCTTAAGGGCTCGTTTGTGAGGGCCCTTAAGGACTCCTCCTCCGCTTTGTCGGAGGTCGTGGAGGGCCTAGTGGGCGACGTATCGCGCCTACAGGTGGCCAACGAGAAGCTGACGGAGCGGGTGAACGAGCTGAGCGCTCAGTTCGCCCGCTTCCAGGCGAACCTCCCCGAGCGGGAAGCCCCGTCCGCGTCCCAGCCTGCCCCTACCACCAACTCAGGGGCATTTGACTCCCAACTGCGAGAAATCCTCATCGCAGTTGGGAATATGCTGGACGGACGCCTGGCTGGCCTGGAGGCGAGACTGCCCCCTGCGCCGATTATGCGCCCCCCGCTCGCGTAGGCACAGCGGCCTAAGGCCACCGCTCCGACCGCGCTCCCCGTTGTGGGAGGCCGCGTTTCTTACGCGGCGGCGGCGTCTACTCCATCGGCCCCACAAAAGCCGACGAGGAGGGGGGCCAAGGCACCGGCCCAGGCGCCGGCCAAGGCACCGGCTAAGGCGCCGGCCAAGGCACATCCCCAGGCGCCGGCCAAGACGGGGCCTAAAACGGCGCCGAGGAGCGGAGTGGCATTCCCTCCGCTCCCCACTCCGACACCCCTGCCGGGCCCCTCCGCACCTGCCCCCTCCAACGAGGGCTGGCAGGAGGCGAGGGGCTCCAAGAAGTCCCGAAGGCGGGCCAAAAAGGCTGCCCAAAGAGCAGCCCAAGCCCTGCCTTCGCCACCGGTGGCAACGGCCTCTGCAAAGAGGCCGCGGAAGCTGCAGCCGCCCAAAACCGCGGCGGTAGTGGTGACCGTGTCCCCGGAGGCGGCTGACGGCGGGCTGTCCTATGCGGCCGTCTTCAAGAAGGCCCGGGACAGCCTCGCCAACGAGTTTGGGACGGTGGGGGTCAGGATGCGCCTCGCCCAGACGGGAGCTCGAGTTCTCGAGTTCCCTGGGGCTGAAGGCGCAAAGACGGCGGACTCCTTCGCTGAGAAGCTGCGGGGAATATTTGCAGCCACAGATGGTGTCAGGGTCGCCAGGCCTACCAAGTGCGCGGAACTGCGCATCTCGGGCCTGGACGACTCAGTGACGGCCGAAGATGTCCGCGCTGTAATCCGGGAGAAGACGGGGTGCAGCGCGGACAACGTCAGGGTCGGCACCATCCGCCCCGGTCCAGGAGGGCTTGGCGCCGTGTGGGTCAGCTGTCCCGTAGCGTCGGCCAAAGTATTGGCCGACGCCGGCAGGCTGCTCATCGGTTTCGTGAGCGCCAGGATTACAGTCCTGGCGGCGAGACCGATGAGGTGTTTTAAATGCCTGGCCACGGGACACACGCGCGTCAAGTGCGACAGTTGTTTTGACTGCGGCGGACTGTGTTTCCGCTGCGGTCAACCGGGGCATAAGGCGGCAGAATGCTCTGCCGCCCCTCACTGCCCAGCGTGTGCGGCGGGCAATAAGCCCGCCAATCACCAGATGGGGCAGAGAGGCTGCAAGCCTCCCCGCAGTTCTCGGCAGACGTCAGGGGCTAGCCAGTCGACCCAGGCTGCCTCCGACGTAGTACGTGCGTCGTCGTCGTCGCCCATGGAGGAGGTTGTAGAGACGATCCAGTAATGGATCAAGTCTCCAACCTCCTGGTCCAGACGAACCTGAACCACTGTGCCGCGGCGCAGGATCTCTTCCTGCAAACCATGGCACAGTGGTCGATAGGTGATGCCGTAGTCGCGGAGCCCTATTCTGTCCCTCCCCGTCCAAACTGGATGGGTGACTGGGACGGCTCCGTGGCAGTCGTCGGTTCCACGACGGCTCATTCCCCGCCCTTGTCGCTAAGAGACAAGGGCACTGGATATGTTGCCGTCGAGTGGGGGGGGATCACCATATATGGTGTCTATTTCTCCCCCAACCGGAGTTTGAACGACTTCGAGGTTTTCCTAATCAGCTTGGAGACCTCGATACGGCGACTAGCGTCTGGGCACATCCTTGTGCT